TTTAGATACATAACTAGTTATTTATTGTTGTTTGCAAAAGATTGGGAAAGTTCTCAAATGCATTATTGCACCAAAATTTTACGATTTTCGAAAACATTTTTGTTTTGCAATCTTTTTGAATCATCAGTGAATGGAATCCCATTCTTTCCAAAATGTTGTGTTAATTTTATTTTAGCTGGATGGGTGTATTGCCTTAGGCAATAATAAATAAATTATTTAAATTAGTGATTGTATGTTACGTCAAATATTTTTTAGCCTTGCCTAGACTTTTCTGTTTGTAAATTTCTTTATTTGCCATTCTAATTTTTATTTATCTATTCCTTAATTGGTCAAGTTTTAAATGTTCAGGTTCACTATCAAATATTACACTATACAATCTTTATTCATATTCTGTTTCTAATATACTAGCGTTCGCCCGCGGCTCTGCCCGTATGGATGCCGATTTTACACTTTTTCAAGATTTTTATAAAATTTTCTCTACGTACAAACCTTGGACCCTCTGGACTTCCACGAATAATTCAAAACTAAAATTAACCAGATCGTTAAAGGCATTGTTGAGCTATAACATTACAACGAAAAGTGACATTGGTTTTTATATAATATACAAATTTGTAAGCAATTTAGAGTCAGTAAGAGTATGACACTCCCTCTCGCCTCACAAGAGAGACCCACCGGAGACACATTTGATGATTTCCCTCCCTCTAAACTGGCCCTCAAAAATTACATGATCTTTGGTAATTGTTTAAAATAGTGACCAAAATCCATGTTGTTTAAGCACTGATCTTAACTTGTGTTTGTGACTAAGATGTTCTGTCAAAAAGGTCAGAGCGATTGAAAGTAGGTTACCCTTTGTGCAGCCATCTGCCTTGGGATTCGAATGGTCGACTGGTCGAACCATTTTATCGATCTGAAGTGTATTGACTATGTCTTTTGTATCTTACTTCATTTGAACTTTCACTCAACATTTTGTTGAGAGCTGAAATTATTTTTAAATATATCAAGGATACTTTGGCAAAAATACATGTTTTTTGTGTCATATGTCGGTAAACGAGCAGACGATTACCTGATGGTAAGCAATCAGCGCAGCCCATGGACGCTCGTAATGCCAAAAGGAATTAGAGATTAAGAGATTAGGGATTTGTGGATTGAGGATAGGCAGGATTGAGCCCCCGGTAACCCAATTCACACAGTGAAACAGAACCTTGGTGTTACTTCACGCCAGTATTCTGTGTGGTTGTGGTATCACTTCGGTCGAGCCAGCCCATTCCTGTCAAAGCATGGCTCTCCCACGCTTATGGTGCATCGTAGGTATATGGAAATTTGTGCTGATGAAACTACCCTTATAAAGATTATGCAATAATAGCACTGTCATTTGTCCTCTACAACTCAGTCCTGATACCAACGAATTGTTCTTAATAAAGGGTCAATACCAATCAGTTCAGATTAGCAAACAACCTATATTTTATGAATCGGCTTTAAAAATAAGAAACCCAAACAGTTCCTATTACCATACATTCTAGTTATTTGATAGGTTAAAAATCGATCTTAAGCACCATATTAAAACCTCATCTCTCTTTATGAAGTCGGTTAACGATTACAAATGTTTGACAAGCTAGATGAACCGAACGTCAGTCAAGCGCGTATAACGGATTAGGGGAGTTCCTTGTAGGAAGTGTGAGCGATGGCTGCGTACGCGCATGTACGCTCGACTGCACAACACTTACGCCACAATTACTTTTTAATACCTTGCTTAAATTAGGTAATTTAGGCTAGAAATTTGTGTTGTTTATGTTCATTGCGAATTATTGTCAATAAAACTAAGTAAAACCGCTTTCTGATGTCTCAATTATCGTAAATATTTTAAGTTAATTAAACGTAACGATTTGACTGATTTCTCTTTCTTCCTGTTGTTATTCCAAGTATTTTTTTTTTAACGTAGTAGGACGGTAAACGACCTGACGGATTTCTTCATGGTAAGCAACCAGCACCACCCATGGATACCTGTAATAACAGAGGATTTACGAGTGTGTTGCTGAAATTTTGGGGATTAGGATTTTGGGGATTTAGGAATTGGGAAGTGATGAGGGGAGGGGGATAAGGTTTGGGCCTCCAGTAACGTCATTCACACGGTGAAATACAACGTCGTGGTTGTGGTCTACGTCGGTGTTAGAAGACGAGTTTGCTTCAGCAGTCCTGATAGTTTCTGACCAACCAAAGAATGGAGAGGATATGATCGACACTGATCTTCCTATCTATTATATAAAACTAAATCGCTCAATCGCGTAGCTAATGGCAAATCTCGAGAACAGCTAAATCGATTGCGATAAAATTCTTTTTTTGTTGCGATTGTTATGACAGGAACATTTTAGAAAAGTACAAGGCGAAATCGGAAAATTGCAGACCTGTATTCGTTTGTTTGAGCGAGGTAGTTTTTTGGTTTGGTGCGGGTGGTTTTCTTTTCTTAGTAGAAAATCAAAAATCATCAAATGCCTTCTCTTAAGACGAGAGGGATTGTCAGACTCTTACTGACTAAAAACCCCCAGTTCCTTCTGAAATGTCTGAATATGGGGCCTGCTTGGCTCCATCTGGCTCTTCGTGAAGGCACGCCGAAACAGGGAGTTGTCTACTGGCTCTTTCATAAAAGCACACCGAAACAGGGGTGGAGTTTTAAAGAGCTATAAAAATAAGATGTTTTTTAATAACACGTAGAGTTAGCGTTAGTAATTTCTTAGACGGTCATTCCACTGTTCTTCGGTCTTTCTCCTTAATTCATCCACCATTGAAATGAATTGTACTGACGGTAATTACAGTTTGGTTGGTACTTAAAGCTCATAATAGCTTGTGTTTCAGTGCACAGTCCAAGGTAAATGAGCTATAACGTTTATGTAATTAGACACGTGCCAACAATTGCATCATTTTCGTTTCGGAATATTTATTTAAAGGATTATTCAAATCTTCGAAGCTTTACTTCTGGTCATTAAAACACCTTAATGACATGCTAGTAACAGTATTTAAGCAAACGTAATTAAGGGCGTCCTCCAGTTAGGTGGACTGACTATATCCGTAAGTTGGCTGGCACTGGTTGGATGAGAAGAGCTGAAAGTCAACAATAGTGGCATGCAATCAGACAGGCCTATATCCAGTAGTGATAATTATATAGGATACTACAATATGAAATTGGAACAACTGATCCTTTGAGAATTTGCCAAATATAAAGCCATCGATTTCAATAGTTGTATTCTGATTATCGAAAACATATACATACGTATAATATTTTTATGTTTCTGATCCTATAGTTTAGTTACATGAGCATAGTTTATAAGAAAAGAAAGAAGAAAGAAAATGATTTAAAGTAGACTTATAATACATAATAATTAATCTGTGTGATTTAACATCGATAAATCCGTATAATTATTATTTGTCCCGACATTGCCATGTATAGAATTATAGTCTTCAGCTTGCATAGACTTGCGTGCATAAAATTAACAAGTGAGAAAATTATAATAGCTACATATTATCTTGAAAATTTAAATAAACATCCATTTTGTATTGATTTATTAGTATTCTACTTGATTTCTAAGTAATTTTGGTGGCTAATTGAGCCTTTATTTGGCAATTATTTTAGGTAGCTTTGTTATTGGCTGGTTAATAAAGAACAGAGGAAGTAATTATGCGTTTATTTGTTGAAAGATATATTGAAGTGCCCGGTAATAAATCTTATTATTATTATAAACGTGAAAGTTTGTAAACATAATGGAGGAATGGATTTATTCTAAATAACGACTTACTTACGTGAACGAACTGAAAAAATCTCTACAAGTTCTTAGTTTCAAGTCATAATGGGACTCATAATCATGAGCAGCGTGCGCGTCGCGGTGACGTCGCGCATTCACCTGAAGTTAGTCAACAATTTTTGTTGACTGGTTAATATCATCATTTGACCTCTCCCGCCCAGGGCCGTGCGGGAGGGAGTGTCAGACTCTTACTGACTAAAAACCCCCTGTTCCTTCTCCTGCTCTGGGCCGAGGTCGCATTGCCTCATTGCGCTTACCCCGCAACCCCAGCTGAACATCAACCTCATACGGCCCCGTCTGTGGTGGTCTATTAGATCTTTGAGGCGAGCGCCGTACGCTCGCGCGGGCCTGGTTCTGGTCGGGAAGCGAGCTGCCCTTACTCGTCGACCGCAGACCCGCCCTTACGGTGGCCGGAGATCGTCTCTCGATCCCCGACGCCCGGAATGTCGCCTATTGCGGCGGCTGGGGCGTGAGGAGGAGGATTGCTCCCTCACGCGGGCCGCCTCCCTCTTTGCGAGTTGCGAGTGTCCATGGGCGGCGAAGATAGCTTATCACCCAGTGATCAGTCTGCTCGGTTGCCTTTCTATGATCATAGAAATCATAGCACGTGCCAATGTATCAAAATTATAAAACCCTTATTTGGTATACAAAGGAATTTGCTCCATTAAATTTTGAAGGTCATACATTTCAAGGTTGTTAGTTAAATAATATTTTCTCGCATCAAGATCACTAAGTCAATTATTAATTTTCTCTTTGCCCTTCATTTTGTAATGTGACAAATCATTCTTGTTAATGATCTTTTAAGTACTTTTACTGTGTCAGTAAGTTTGTGTAGTAAAGCTTGCAAGCTTCATTTTACTGGCAGTTGAGTGTGCTTGCCGTGGTTTTAGGTTTAATAATAGTATGAGAAAAAGTATTCTTCACTATAACTATAAACATAATATAAAACAAAGTCGCTTTCTGTGTTCCTATATTCCTATGTATGTTTAAATCTTTAAAACTACGCAACGGATTTTGATGTGGTTTTTTAATAGATAAAGTAATTGATGCTTTTAAGCAATAAATACTGAAAGAAATAGTGAAATGCAAGAAATAGTGAAATAGCTGTAGCTTCCAAAAATATCGTTTACGGACCGATTATAGAAATTTTAGAACTCTGATATTGTGAGTTGAAGTCAACTGGATATGTATATTTAATCATTACATAGAATATAACATATAAAAAAAGTTGCTATCTTTGTTCCTCGTCATCATCATCATCAGTTCATCATCAGCCTATAAGTGCCCGCTGCTGAGCAATCCTCTTCTCATACGGAGAAGGTTAGAGCATTAATCACCACGCTTGCTCAATGCGGGTTTTCGATTTCAAACTTATAATTAAAATTATAAGTCCAGGTTTCCTCACGATGTTTACCTTCACCATATGTTAGTGTATGTAATATGTATGTAGTATGTTTATGTATGTAGTATGGTGTGTAAATAATCATAGAAAGTACAAAATATAACCCTGAAAAAGTCACATTGGTACTTGCCAGGTTTCGAACTTACACAGCATGCATGAGAAGCGGGCTCCCTAACCTCCGGGCCACCACGACCACGATCTCTGTTCCTATGTATGCTTAACTCTTTAAAACTACGCAATGGACTTTGATGCGGTTTTGATTGAAGGTTAATAAGTATAATAATATCCATTTGATAGTAGAGAAATTTAGTATTAACATTGCACCCGTGCGAAGCCGGGGCGGGTCGCTTAGTTAGTAATAAGGAAAGGCTTTTTATGTAATAGGTCGGTAAACGAGCAGAAGGATTACCTGATGGTAAGCAATCAACGCCGCCCATGGACACTCGCAACGGAGGAGTTACGAGTGCGTTGCCGACCTTTTAGGGATTAGGGATTTGGAGGTTTAGGGATTGGGGAAGGCGAAGGATTGGGCCTCCGGTAACCTCACTCACACGGCGAAACACAACGCAGTTGTTATTTCACGCCGGTTTTCTGTGAGGCCGTGGAATCACTCCAGTCGAGCCGACCCATTCGTGCCGAAGCATGGCTCTCCCACACTTAAAACTTACTAAGTATTAAGTACTCTGAGTGCCAAACTCATTTACAAACCGGTGTTAATGTCATAAACTACAATAATTTACAGCTTCGAAAGCCTTTACTGTAATTTGTCAACCATATTTTTTGGATTAACTTTCTACTGAAGAATCTTTAACGGTAGCTTCGGTAGTATTTTTGTGACCTAAAATTTTGGCTGTTTTTTTCGTAAAGGAATCTAAAGTGACTGTCAGTACTGAGCTCTCCATGCATTGCGAAGTACAGTCATAGATTGGAACTTGAGTAAGGACATAGGATAGTTTTTAAACCAAAAATCTGCTGCGCGATCAAAGTCGCGGGGTAAATCTAGCAATAGAATAAATCCTTTCATAGTTTTGATTAAGTCAGTACACTATCGTCTTCCGTAAAACTAGATCGTCGTAAAACTTCATGATCCAATATTTTATTAAGAAACATACGGATTACCTGATGGCAAGCAATCGACGCTGACCCTACATTTGTAACTCTCTTTGTATGGCATTATTAAAGGAATTAAAGTGCCTTGCCTCTTTGGGGATTAAGAATGGTAAGTGGTTTCCCAGACATTCCGAGACGATTTTCCCTCTGTTTCAAAAGGAACAACTTAATTTCTTCTATTCTAAGAAGCCTCATAGTGATGTATCCACATATTGACACTTTTAACATAAATAATAACAAACGTAACTCAATAACTCCTTAGTATGCGCAAATGTAACTCCACTACGAGTTCCAAATTCAAAACTATAATTACTATTTAAAACATTCATTGTTCTTTTATAATTCTTTTTCTAAAATGACCGTTATAATACTAGCCATACGCCACGAGGCATTGTAAAATTTCAAATTAATTAACAAACGAAAATATAATCTTCAACGCGTCCACTTTCACTAAAAAACGTTAAAATAAAAAGTGAAATAACTTTAAGTTAATTTATAAGCAAATATATAAATATGTAACTATTTTCTAATATCGAAATCGAAACAGTATTACGAATAGTTATATAAGTAAATGTTATATGTAAAATTAACATATGGTACCGGTTTCATCTACCCATAGTTCGAGTCGTGTGGTGTGCCGATCATGGTAATCCAATATGATTCTTAACAGTACTTATTGGAAAGGAATCCGTTATTTATTGAGCTTTAGTCTTTAAATATTTGGGATAGCCATGTTTTGGCACGAATGGGTCGGCTCTACTGGAGAAGACGGCGTTAGAGGTCATATGTGCGTTTTGTTCCTTCACATGATTACGGTATCGGAAGCCCAATCCTGCCCCCATCCCCATCCACAATCCTTTAACTCCATAATCCTTAAACTCAAGCTCTCATACCATAAAGCCGGCAACGTAATTGTTATTTTATTGTTCCTAATATTTTCAGGTGATCAATCAATCTGTCCGACGAATCACACATAAAGAGATACATATTTTATTTGACACTCAAAAATAAAAAGGTTTTTTCTATTTATGTCACATCAAAGTTTACTTGTTACTACAAAGATACCTTTCTTAATAAATACCGAGTAAAATAAATAAACCTATCATATGCAATCAAGTCGCTACATCTTTTTTTGCTAATTACTAGAGCAATGAACTTACAATTACTTGATTTTAACACGACCGCACCGAGTACCCAAATCGACGAATTTAAAAAAAAATCAACCTTATGTCCAAAGCATACATTACATTATTATTTAGACTAAATAGTTTGAGTCGTCCCCTCATAACTGCATTAAAACCAGCTAACCTACAATTCACCCTACACCGTTATGAAATGTAGCACCGCAGTCTAGGCAGTGGGTTTATAAGCCACTATATACAGGTTCTATCTAGGTTCTATCTAATCTAAACCATATAGTAACGGCAGAGTGGTATAAAGTTACCATCCTTGCTCTTCTACCGAACAAAGTCAATGTCAAATCATTCATTTGAATTAGACCATTACAGGCACTTTTCAACACACTGTCGGTAACTCCTATTTGTGAAACTATTTGATCGCTCTAAAGTGTAAATTCCGCGATATTCGTAAGGAATTACTAACGAACGAAAATATTAATACCCAATCAATCTCAATCAATTTAAGATCGAGTTATTTTTATATTTGTTGTAATGTATTTCCGAACCGATACGAGCCTAAGCCTCCAAGAAGGCAACTGGCAACGTCTCGTGTGGTGTTGCGGCTGTCTATGGGCGATGCCGATGACTTACCATCAGGTGATCCATCTGCTCTTTTGCCTCCTATTCCATAAAGAAAAGAGTTTACAAAACCTGGATCGTTCCAGAGATTTAATTTCGACATAAAAAGTCTAACAATCCTTCCCCAGCTAGGGCCGAAAAAAAATTTTGGATGATTTTCTACCCTCAAAAAAGGGTGGGATACTATCAAATGACTCATTCTGCTTTGGATGACGCGAGAGGAACGTCAGTCAGTCTCTTAACATTTCTTCTTCTGCTCCGGGCCAGGGCCGGTGTAAATTATTAAGCTTGCACTTGCGCAACCACATTAAAATCGGGCCTTTGGTGATGTGGTATTTCTTGCTTGTTCTTCTCCATTCGAATCTACATTTTGCAATGAGGAACTACCTTCACTGATGAATACATTGTCGGACTATTCAACTTTGGCGATAATTTAAAAGTGCCTTGTTGTAGGATTATTTTAAATAAATGCTTTGACTTCATCTTAACTGATTATGATAACTTGCACATTCATATTCTTGGTAAAACATCATAAAATTTCACTTTCTTTAAATTGTGTACTAAGTATCTTATTGCTGAATCATTTACGATAATGTTTCTCTCATTATGTAGTTATTTTATTGCCTTCTAATAAATAATTTGTTACAAGTTCATGGTTAGATGTTGTTTGTGAAGAAGATATAAAATTTTATATTGGAAAAAATAGAATCTCTATGTTTCTAGATAGTTCGTAGATATCTGTAAGTTTTGAGTTTGGTAGGTAATAAAGATCGTTGAGTATAATTTTATGTTTCTTTGTTTCATTTAATGCTTCGTTTGAAGTCGTGAGTCTGGTATTAGTTGCTGTACTTGAACAGGGTTCGACATCCTGTTCAAGATATTTTTATTTTTATTTTTGACTGTTTAAAGATTTATGTTCCTATCATCATTAGGCCAGCTCTAATGGTCCTGTTTTCTGAGCGTAAATATATGTTAATTTCGTTATATGTACTTTCCAAGATTATTAAGATATTACATACGGCGAAGGAAAACTTCGTGAATTAACTCATTTTTTTATCATAAGTTAAAAATCCCCAATCGTCTTTGAGCTAGCGTGGTGATTAATGCTCATATGAAACTTATTGAATAGGAGTGACCATGGGGTTTCTTGTTCGTTCTTTTCCATAGGAATCTACACTTTGGAATGAGCAAATAGCTTACTAGAGGATCGACTTTTGACATGCAAAAGTGCCTTTTGAAATAAATGATGAAAATTCGACTTTGTCTTGCATTGGTTGATGGTGGTTGATTGGATTTGGATGGTGGTTGGCTATTGATGTTGATATTAATTCTTAGTTACACTGGGTATAGCTCGTGTAATATAATAACTATGTTAAATTCTACCTACCACTCTTCATAGTAAAAATGTTGCAATATTTGCTATCTTTGTCGGGAAATACAACTCGTGACAAAAACATCCATAAACTGTCACAATGAATAATGAATTAAGTCCATTAGAAATGCAATTGAAAAGTAAACCTTACAAGCACTGACATAGAAAGAAACATCGATTGACTGTCACGTTTTGCAAATTTTGAACCAATTCACAGATTCAATTGTTAAATCAATCGTAGAATTAACAAACAAACGGCTTTTGACATTTCGATGCGTTGATTTCTAATTTATTTTTTGAGAAACATCACTCCGGCTGATGTTCCTGTTACTCTTTTATTTGATGCTAGCTTCTGCTGCACGCTTTCACTCGCTGCTCGGCTCCTACAAATCGTAGCGTAATGTTTTATAACCCTCGATAAATGTACTAACAAATACAAAAAGAATTATTCAATTCGAACCAGTAATTCTGGAGATTAGCGCGTTCAAACAAACAAACAAACAAACTCTCTAGCTTTATAATATGAATATATATTTATAATAATATATATAGTATAGATTGTTTTTTAGTTGCTTTGATGTTCAAGATTTTGTTGTAGATAATGTAGTAACAGACGCAAGCTTTTTTTTGATATATTGCGGCAATAGTATGGCATAACAAAACACAATTCTATGAATAAGCCGGCTCTACAGGAGCGTTTATTCAAGGATTGGGAAGCGATGGAGGGAACGTTAAGTTTCGTCATGTGAATGAAGGGACCAGAGTCATATCTTCCTCCCAATTCCTTAATCCACCAATCCTTAGCTTCTAAAACGCTGCCCTTGCCCACTGCTGAGCAAAGGCCTCTTCTCACACGGAGAAGGTTAGAGCATTAATAACCACGCTTGCTCAATGCGGGTTGGCGATTTCAAACTTATAATTAGAAATTATAAGTCGATGTTTACCTTCACCGTATGTCAGTGGTGTCAAAATAATCATAGAAAGTACATATAGCTCGGAAAAAGTCACATTGGTACTTGCCAGGTTTCAAACCCACCCCTCTTGGGTGGCTCATATATGTATAAAAACCTAAATTCTACAAAAAGTCACGCAAATTTTCTCCAAAGGGGTAAACAGGATTACTCTGAAAAGTAGTTGTACCAGATAATATAAAGTAATAGCTGTTCTTGTAATGGCTGTACGTTAGTTTAAGTGCATATAATATGTGCATGTCGCTATGCAACCTGTATTTACTTGCACGGAGTAATGTTATTATTGATAATGATTGTTTATCTGTATGTAAGCGCAGGCTTACGGGTAATGAAATGGTATGAAGTTGTTTTGTACCTTTATACGTAAATATATAGTATACTCGGCTAACTTTATTCCGCCTCAATATTTATGAATGTTTTCTAACCTTTTAAACTGTCTTCCTTGGACTTCCACGAATGTTTCAAGACTATAATTAGCCAAATAGGACCAGTACTTGTCGAGATTTTGTGAGACTAACGAACAGTATTTTAGTTTTATATATTATAAAAGTTTCATTGTAAAAAAGATTAAAATATATTTTGAATTTTGTTTAAATAAAGAACTTTAAGTACTATCTTAAAACTTAAAATAATTTCTGTAATAAATCTTCCACATAAATAATGAGGTTATAATATTTATTTTACATACTACTACATATTTTACCTTGTTTTAAAGGCGCCTTTTGATTAGACATTTGTCGTCCCCCCACAGCCTCTAAAAAAGGTATTCTTAATGGTTCCTTCTCAACCTCTAAACACAGTTCACGCTTAGACCCCCAGAGCTAACTAAAACTTATGTATCCTTTGGGCTTCATTCTCGACCTTCAAGGGATGTAAAATAACTATATCAGGGGGTTAAGCGCAATGAGTCACCGCGGCCTCGGCCCAGAGCAGGAGAAGGAACGGGGGTGTTTTTAGTCAGTAAGAGTCGGACACTCTTTCTCGCCTAACCCTGGGGGCGGGAGAAGTCATTTGATGATTTTCCTATGACAAAAAATGTACCCAGTACGTATATTATTTATTAGGGGTCGAGTCCCAAGATTGAACTAACCAACTCACGTCCAAACGTGACAAAATGGTGGTGATCACAGAAAAACCAGATAGGTATATGTATAAGTATTTACCATAGCATGTGTGTGATGTCATCTATGACACTTTGTGTAGCAGTCAATCGCAACACAAATAAATCTTCACACAAAATACGTATATTATTATTTGTATAATAAACAAAGTTGGATATAAGTTTAGTAAAACAGGTTTTTCAACTTAATTACATATGCTAAAAGGGCAGCATTGGGCGTGAAAGTTCAATATATCACTTAAGTTATAACATGAGATGAATACCGATAGTTTTCTTTCATATTCGCTTATGTAATCAAATTGATGAGTTTTATATAGAAAGTGATAATTTCTTGGATTATGGTAGTAGGCAATTTTGCGAGTTGTTAGTCATGGTAGATATGGGTTTCTTGAACTTAAAACCGCCGTTTCTTTCGCTATGATTTAAAAAAAATATGTGATGTACATTATAAAATTTCTTTTTTTTAAGTATACTTTAAATACAAACACAAACTATATATGTAGCAATCATACAGAAAAAAACCCGTGGATCGCGCGTACTGTGCTGTAGCGCTTACTAAACATATGCCTTGACAAGTATACACTATAAATTTTTAGGTCAGTTTTCGAGCGCACGCCACGCGATCCCGATTCTTGAGCAAATAAAATTGAATATAATGCCCAATTGTGAAATTAAATGATGTGGTAAGTATTCCACAACATCAAGTTACACAAAAGATGGGATAACATTTCATAAGGCAAGTGATTTTCTATTTCAATTTCATTAAAATGAAAAAAGAAATCATAAATACATTTTTGAAATAATTATGTCCCTATCTGGTTAATTTCTCTATGGTAGTAATACAAACTGTAAAATATAATTAATGTTGTTACTAAACCACACATTATGTTGAAGAATTTAAAGAATTTTAAGTGTGGGAGAGCCATGCTTCGGCACGAATGGGTCGGCTCGACCGGAGTGATACCACGGCCTCACAGAAAACCGGCGTGAAATAACCACTGCGTTGTGTTTCGCCGTGTGAGTGAGGTTACCGGAGGCCCAATCCTGCTCCTTCCCAATCCCTCCTCAATCCCTAAATCTCCAAATCCCTAATCCCTAAAAGGTACGCACTCGTAACTCCTCCGTTGCGAGTGTCCTTGGGCGGCGCTGATTGCTTACCATCAGGTAATCCGTATGCTCGTTTGCCGAGCTATTACATTTAAAAAAAAGAAATATAAAAAAAAATTATTCGATAGTTTAAAATTTAGCAATCTGCCGATACTAACGCCAAATTTTGCATCAGACATATTTAGAAGTCAAGATAAACGTATACATATGTATGTATATGGTGCAATAATCTGAATTCTTGCATTGTAAGAAAACTATCTTCGGACCGCGGCTTCGTCCGTGTGGTATGTTGATAAAAAGTAGCCCATCTCCTCCTATTCCGGAGTGTTCGGGTCCGGCTGGACGGATCTGTATGAAATTCGACACAGGCGTACATCTAAATATTGTAACTTTCGCATTTATAATATTAAGTAACATAAACTAGCCCTTAGTCTGGTTAGAGTCAGACTAGATTCTAGAACCATTCACAAACAAGGTACAGGACTTTAATGGGGACCATTTAAATACTTCTTCTTTTTTCACGTTTAGGTTAGGTTCAAACTATAAGCTTAAATGCTACATCGATTAGCCAGCATCTGAAATTATCCTTTAGCCTATACCTAGCAAAATAATATACATTTTAGTTACTCCTAGTCGAAAGTGGTTGAGGTACGACTGTCATTTGTTTTAAAATCCGCTTTCATTCCTCGGTGTGAAATTTTCCTAGGGAGTAGACTGACACCCGGTTTCCGAAAGGCCGATCAATGTTAAAATCTTTTGTTAAGTCATCTGATTGGTTGACTGAATTATCAACAACCAATCAGATGGCTTGACAAGAGATTTAACAGGAGATTAGTTAATTTTAGCGTTGACAAGCCTTCTAGAAACCGGGTGTGAATTACTAAAAAACTATTGATAGATATTTAAGACAAATTGTAAGCGTATAAACAAATAGACAATAAAATTTTACTAATATTATTAGAGAAGATATTTTTAAGGCATTACTACATATATACAAATATATGTTTTTGGTGCATATAAACTTGTGCATTAACACAAATTATCCAATACATAATCGTATCTATTTCTATGCATACGTATATAAAATTAATTCGCTTGCAATTTCAACATTGGGGAAAATTTATTCATATTGTGCAGCGGTGACAGATTTATACAAAAATATTTTATTATATTTATAATTTAATTATATATGCATTTTGCTTTTGTAAGATTTGCAACTGTTTCTATTTGTTCTAGTTTTATTTGAGATTATTTCCAATAATTAAGTAATCTTTTAGTATTTGTATGTTAAAAAAAAAAGTCACTGCTTGATAATCTCTTGCTATTGCAATTGCCGAGGGTAATTGAGGCATCAAAGACGTTCCGTTTACCTTACTAGACAACATAGTTAGAATCTGACAGTTTCCAACTAGTTAAATTCAATACTTTTATTAAAATGTGATCACAATTAATGAAGCGCGGTGGCTGGGCAACTGGCTGCCGCGCAACGTGCCGTGGGCTCGATTCCCGCACGGAACAATTCTTTGTTATCCACAAATTATTGTTCCGGGTCTGAGTGTGTTGTGTATGTGAAGTTGTATGTTTGTAAACGTACCCACGACACAGGAGAAAGCCCTAGTGTGGAGCAATGACTTTTTTTTTTAATAAGTGATATAATAACATAATATTTTGGTCAAATTGCGATCTAAGGGGAGTAAGACTCTTACTGCCTAAAACCTATGCATTACTTCTCCTGCTCAGGGCCAAGAGCCGCGGTACATTAACTGTGCTTGCAGCCGTACCCCTATTTTTTTAATAGGTCTGCAAACGAGCAGACTTATTACCCGATGGTAAGTAATCAGCGCCGCTCATGGACACCCGCACCGTAGGAGTTACGAGTGCGTTGCCGACCTTTTAGGGATTAGGGTTATGGAGATTAAGGGATTGGGAAGGGATCGGGGGAGGGGAAAGATTGGGCCTTCGGTAACCTCACTCACAGGACGAAACACAACGCTGTGGTTGTTTCACGCCGGTTTTCTCTGAGGCCCTGGTATCACTCCGGTCGAGCTGACCCATTCGTGCCGAAGCTTGGCTCTCCCACACTTATTAACTACAACTTCAAGGATTGATAGCCCCGAAGTTATGTATTAATGATTTATATGATCTATACTTGTACGGGGAGGGATAAAAAGTTAATGTAACTGTCGTAAGTTGAATCACATATGGACATCAAAGTAAATTATGTTTGTGAAACACGCGAAACGACACGAAACACCGTTTTAAAATTTCAATTAGCGATCGAGCCATCGTTTGTAATACTGTGTTACATCGCGATATAATGAATTGATTTGCATTGTATAATGTATATCTATGTGATAGAGTGAAGTTTTGTAAAGGCTTAGATATGTTTTTATGGTATAGATCGGCAAACGGCCGGATTACCTGATGGTAAGCAATCAGCGCTGGTCATGGACACTTGCAACACCAAAGGAGTTACTAGTGCGTTGTCGGCCTTTTAGGGATTAGGGTTTTGGACTTTTAAGCATTGCAAAGGGATGAGGAGAGGGAAACGATTGGGCCTCCGGTAACATAAAAACACAACGCTGTATGTTGTTTGATAACGGTTAATGCATATATGTATATGTGGATGTGTGGAAGGGTCATGTTTCGGCACAAATGGGCCAGTTCGGACGGAGTTATACCATGGCCTTACAACACACACCAGTGTGAAGCAACTACAGCGTTGTGGACGCCATGTGATTAAGATCGAATCATTGCCCTCCCCCAACTTACAATGCACTTGCAATTGTTCTGATGTCGTGGTGT